AATTATATCATGTTAGTACCTCTGAGGGATTAAATAACTAATTAGGTTTAAAGAGTAACTTAATATGAGGCTGAAAAGCAGCGCTTCACTACCTTTTCCTGGTTGAAAGTATCAATGTTGTTGCATCTCTACAGTGAGAAGGATCAGAGGTATCTGCTGCAGTCATAACCACACCCAACAGCGACGTCACGAGAAACCTGAAATACACAGCAGTTTAACAGGGCGAAAATTGGCAAAAACAACTTTTCACCTGCTCTATAAGCATATTTCTGTCCACTAGTGATTAGAAAGTGCTAAAATTATTCACCATTTACCGGGAAATACCGTTTATGAAACAACAGCCCTTCCTGTAAATGACTAATTCATGAAACAAAACTCCAAGAACATCAACATCTGAAAAGGTACCAGATTGTGGTGGCATGTTTTGGTTCCAGTCAGCAGCTTGACACTGAGTCTGAGAACAGCTCATCCTCCGTAGTTATCTTCCCTAAAAGAACTCTGAATTAATTGTGAATTAGTAACTAATGCACACACTGCCAGTAACTGTACTGGAAGCATTACAACTTCTGTTCAGTGGGAACAGTATCACTCTCCACTGTGTGATTTACTCTGACAAAGTGTAGCTTACTTTCCGCGGTGTGGGTGTTGACACATGTTTTCCCCTGGAGGCCGCCCGGACGAGCTCAGATGCACTCAGTGTGTGCATCAGGACCACATGTGCTGAGAACATTCAGTACTTTTTATTAGCTGATGACATTTTTAGGCTAAGTGCTACTGTGACCTTGAGTCAGTCAGAGCTCTGGGCTTGTATCATTTTAAATTGTTGATACTGTGTAAAAAATAGCTTGTTCTGCAGGGCACCGGGAACCCTGATAACATTCCTGACTTATTTCACATTATGCTATCGCACATTAACTCTCGTGTCACATTTACACACATTTAAAATTATCCCTGAGTCCAGCAGGTGTGAATCACCAGAGGCTTCGCCAAGAGCTGGATTCTCGCTCCGGTCAGCCAAGGCTAAGAGCCAAATAGACAGATTCCCTGGAAGGTCTGCCTTAAGGTTTGTGTCTGCATGTATGTATCTGTCCGGAAGCTGCTGAGTTAAGGTTAACCTATGAACACTCATCGCGCAGAATAATAAAAATGTGCTGCTGTATTTCTACCGCCATCGGCCAATTCTGAATTATTGTTTCGCAGCACAAAGCCTCCCGATTCAAACAGTGTAAACCATTTCTAAATGCCAAATTCACAGCAGCAGAATCAATCGTTCCTCCGTTTGTAATAACAGTGTGCATACAGACGGTAGTTTGTTTCCTTTCCTGTCATCTACAGGGGCACAGGCTTAATGAATTACAGTGGGTTACACACTATTTTCACTTTAAGAGACCAGCAAATAAAATGCCTCCAAGCTTTTTGTCTTCTTTGCAAATAGAAAGTGAATATTTAGAGGTTAAACTGGTTTATTAGCACCGTGACCACAATTACAGTTATTAGTGTTGGGTTTGGCAGGAAAATGTCCTTCTACTGAGGCCTACAGCAACATTGTGACCTCTCAAAAGCACCATACTAGAAATAACAAATACTATCCTTGGTCCTGGAGCATCCTGGAGTACGTATGCCATGGATAAATGGCTTGATTTTTCACATTTTGAAGCTTAAGAAGTTCTTAAAATATGATATACAAAAGCCACTTCATCTAAAATGAAAAACTGAACAAACACTGTCTATGTCATCAGTGATCGTTGGTGTGTTGAAGCTAAAACACACTCACGCATATTTACAGAATGAAGCCTGCAACAGAACACGGTGTGAACTTTAAATAGTCATTCAAATAGACAGGCCTCACTGCATTAATGGGTAAACCTGAGGTTGATGGAAAACACTAATTACTGAGTAGCTGCTTATTTGCTTTTATTGTCTCAGCGGAGTGTATCGTTCAGCAGGTTGGTAGATACAGATGTTGCCAAAGTCCAGCTGAGGTTGCACAGGGATACATGCTATTTTTAGACGTATTACAGCAAAGCAGGGCTATATACTATATGCATGTTATCCCTCTATCTTCCTGTGGTATCTGTAGTATTTAGAGCTAAGGTAAAACAGGTGGTCTGGGAGTCAGTGCATTGTTTTCTCCCTTTTAGTGTGACTTGTGCTGATTTGCACAGTAGGATCTGTGCGTATAATGTAGCTATAGTGGTGAAATATTATAAGTACAGACATTGTGCGCATACCATGAACACGATACCAGTTGGTTTCAAACCGCAGGACTTTAAAACATGTCCGGAGGAAATCAAATATTAGTTTTTTTCTGAACAAGAATGCCTACCGGTGAATATTCCTCCGTTACAATCAAATATTCCAAAGGGTTCAATAAGAGGTTAATTTAACTAGAAAAGAAGGAACACTGTCGAAGCTGTAAATTAATTTGTAAGTGTGCAGCAGAGCTGGTCAAAGTTGGCCATGAACTGTAGCACACAATGTGTCAATCCAAGGTCACATCAGTCAGTGTGTTATCATCTTATTAAATAATCAGCTGAAAATTCCATCTATTCATCACATAATTGAAAATCACACTCAGAGAAGGAAAAAAAAAACCTTTCCAGAGGACAGTAGTTTTAATGCATAATACATGAAGAAATATATACATCAGTGGAGTCTCAAAAGGTGTAAGTTGGTAGGAATAAAATAGACCAATGAAGAGTTTCTAATCCATTGACTTTGTGGGGATTCATGTCTGAGATTTAATAATTAAGGTAGAAGTAGATGGTGAGTCACAACTACAATATCAAACTGTGACTTGAATAAAGAATGGTGTCAATGATTAACAGGAATAGGTGAAAGAGCAGACAGCAGCTGCAGAACAGAAGTGGTGAGCAGTCACAATTACGTTAGGCTGAAGCGTCTCATGTTAGCGGAAAAACTTTGACTGAAAAGCTTCTTCTTCCTGAACATACTCCAGGTTGATATATCTGACTTTTACTGGAAACAACGAGAGACCATGAAATAGAACAGATATCAGTGATGTCCAGGTGATGAATTTTTAATGACTTTTCTTCTAGTAGCATCATGAAGTCAAAATGTTTCCCCGCAGGGTTTCTACTGGCTGGGATTGGGCCTTTGAGGGGCTACTGTAAAAGCAATGAGCCTGTGACTAACCCCTATGAAATTCCTGTTATTTTTGACCATCTATTAAACAAAAGCATCTATCTCACCCAACTAAATAAAACTCTGCTGAAGAAATTGTTAAAACATATTTACATTTTTAATTTCCAAATCTTGTGGTCAGACTGAGACCATTATTTAAAATTGGGGTGGCACAATGTCTCATCATTTATTTTTACTGCCATGTCAAAGTACACGAGGCTTAAAATATACAGAGTCTTTAAAAAAAGTAAGTTTTCCTTTTTTTTTTTTTTTTTTTTAATTTTCAACACTGAATTATGGTCAATTTAATTTGGCTTTTGTGAAAAGAATTTACATAAAAGACTCTTTCACATTAAGGTGAAAACTGATTTCTACAAAGTAATGTCCCTTAATTACAAATATTAAATGTAAAATAAATGTCATTGTGAGCATGTTAGAGTGGATGACATTAGCACTTAGCTCAAAGCAGTGCCCTGCAGTGTAGAGCTGCAAAAACTAATCGATGAGTTGTCAACTATTAAAGGACTCAAGATCCATTTTGTTAATCAATAACTTATTCAGAAGTATCCAGGTTCTTAAATTTGAGTATTTTCCTGTTTCTTTCCTCCTCTTTGACAGTAAATTGAATATCTTTGGGTTGTGAACAAAACAAGATATGAGGATGTTGTCTTGACCTTTTGGAAACAATAACCAACATCTCTCACCGTTTAATCGACCAAACCACAAACTGATTAATGAAGAAACTAACCAACAGGTAATTTAACAGTTAAATAATGGCAGCCTGAGTGCAGTGCAGTCTTTCAGAACCGCTACCATGACATGAGCCTCAGTCTTGTTTTTATATCCTGGTTACTGCCAAAAGTTTAATCGCTTGAGATGAATCCCACTTCATATGGGGTAATAGCATTAACTTTCCTCACTCTAATCAGATTTAGAAGTTGTTTCATTTTATTCATAGGTTCACTCTTGATGGTGATGTAAAAACTAGTGCCTTAAAAACTGCAGAAAACACAAGAGACTCTTGCAGCATACATGTACGCAGTGTTTTTGGTTTGATAACTGGTCTCTTTAAAGATGGAGACAGACGACATCGTGGGACAGAGATAGAAGAAAGAAGAGGGAGATCATTAGTCCATCCCCAAATTACACATAGACGTCACTCTGAACTGAAGGAGCTCCACATGGAGCTGTTTACACTGTGAAACTCCTTATTTAACTAATGACAGCTCCATGAATACCAGCTATAAACTGCACATCATCACAACAGTCACTCGGAGCTGTAAATAACTGTTAAGAACTGAGTAACTGCCTATTCTTCATATTTGTTAGCAGCCATAGAAACAAAATCCCTCCAAGGATATTGCCCATTGTGTTATCTTTATGAGCACGCAAACAACAGCACCACAGAGAGCATTAGTTTTTGACTAATACCCCAACAAAGGGCTCTAAAGGCGTGTTTGAGGTGTCACCCTCGACATCGCTGCGGCAACTTCCTTCCCAGCCAAACTCTCCTTAGCGATGGGTAAAACTGATATTGCCTTATCTTATGTATCGATCAGAAGCAGCCGCCCAGCAAGAGGCTAAATCAATACCATTTGAAATTTCATTGCTCTGGCTTCGGACCAGACAAGATGTTAAGTGCCCTGCATGCTGTTGTGGCATGTCCTGTCTCCTGATCGAGGTTTATCATCAGCATGTCACTGATAGGACCAGGGTAAAGCCTTAATAGTTGACTTATTAGATCATGACCTAAGGTACAACATCTCTTGACACATCCATCACTGAGGCTGACTCTTTATGCTTTATATATATATATATATATATATATATATATATATATATATATATACAGCTGTATTTTTATTGGTCTTTAACATCACAAAAGAAAAGGCTCACTCTTCTCTCTTTGCACCACAATCCCAAAGGCAATATAAACTGCAAGTTGGCAATAACTAAATGAACTCTGTGATAAATATTTCAGGCTCCACAAACAAAACAATGGCAAAATGGTAACTGAGGACACATTATCAACACACAGATAAAGCAGCATTTGTCTCCTTCTCGACTAAAAATGAGTCACATGCCTCCAAAACCCAAATGTGTCACACGAATAGTTCTATAACTCATCCCCTAAATGCATGCTCTTACAATATGTTGTGTCTGCGGCTCGTGCTGTGGCTACTGAGTCACTGTGCTGGGCATTGTATGTCATAAGAGATGATAGAGGAGTGTGGTCCAGAAAGCACACAGGCACACGCCCGACAGAGTCACCGCCAAATCGCTGGTCTGCCGGAGCCACTGCTCCCCATTCACGGTAAGCCATAGATTCCCGGCCGCCCTGTAGGTTCTTCCCATGATGCCATCTTGCTCTCTACTCAAGTTGACACCATCGTTGCTGACAGATGACGTCCTTGCCCTCAGTGCAATCGCACGGCATCTGCGTTCTGTGTTGATTTGCAGATAAGGAAGATGAAAGGAGGTAAAGACACTTGCCATGGCAAACATGACATTAGAATTACATAGATTATCTTTAAATACACAGATCAGAGAAGTAGGCAGTGTCAACCAATATATGGGGAAATTGCACCATCTTGTGGCAAATACTTGCAATTGGGTGCAATCGTGAGGAACTAAAATACTTACGGAGCCAGCCCTGCAACACCACAAAGACAACGAAGACACAGACCGAAAGAACAGATGCATATGCCTACAGAGGAATAAAGAGAAGGATTTAAATAAATTATCATATTTTCTCAAAATAGCTGTCTAAGATGGCTTTAATGTCTGACTCATGATCAGAGTTGCATTTTCACATATTTCAATAATCAGTAGTCGATCAAATTATGAGAGGAGAGGAATATACTGAGCGCGTGCAGCTTGCAGTGTGTTGAATTTCTCTCTTACTACATACAGTATGGGTTGATTGCCTCATGCCTACCAAGAGGAGCTGTGCACCGTTCTGAGTCATTCTCCTCAAGGCTTTTCCCATCTGGAGTCTGAGCAGAGCTAAAGAACAGGGCGTTACTGCCTCTTCAGCCTCAGTCTCCACACATCTTAAAGATAAAAAATGGAAACTGTGTTACACATGATGGTATCATCAGCCTGTTAAAATAACAGTAAACACACGACATTGAAATGATGAATGAGCAGACAGCGGGAGTCTGACATAAACGTGCTTAGCATTTAGCTTAACTGACTTTGCATTTATGAAATGTGGCATGTATGAGCAAATTTGCATTCTTACTGAAAATGACAAGAGAACATTGTTACCAGTTTCAAGCAAAATACAAAGCTGTCCGCAAACATCCAACACAAAAAATGGAGCACTGTCCAAAATGTCAGTATTTCAATCATTTTTACTGTTAGATTTGCACAAGGACTAAAATGTCAATCTAGCTGCTGATTCAACCTTTGTCTAGTCTTTGTGTTAAGCTAAGCTAACAGGTTGCTGCAGGTGCCATCACAGTTTACCCTACAGACGTCTTTACTGCAGGAACCCGGGACAGGTGTGAGGTTTCACAAACAATTACAGGAACATCTCGCTAATCAGTCCCTTTAGCATTTCTGTTTCCACTAGGGTGTAAGACTCAAAAACTTTGACAGCAATGTTAACTCAGAGGTCACCAAAACAACGACAAAGAGCATTACTGTCAACAATTCCAGTTCTACAGTCATAGTGGAAACAGACCAACAAAGGGTTTGCCATGTTTGCCTGTACAATGAACTTCATCTTGTTTAGTGGTGATGTTGGAGAGAACACTGCTACTCAACAAAGGCATACAGAAAGCAGAAAAAATGCTGCAGGTTGTTCTCTCTGAATTCAACCATAGACTGTATAAAAGATGGACGGAGCAACTGGCCCTGAAAAATGAAGCCAACCCGGAAGTGTCAAAAACCTACGTCCGCTAGCTGCTGGCTCCAAAAGCCCTGACTCCCATAGACTTGAATTGGAAAAGAAGTGATCACAGTTCACGAAATATTGCATTCCTACAGCTCAGGATTTTTTTCTTATTAGTTTTCATAGTCAAATTTAGAGATCAGGTGGCCAATCTGAAAATAAATCAATACAGAATTTTTAAAAAATCGTCAAAATTTTGCAGTGCAAGGGGCGTGGCTGGCTTGATTGACAGTCAGCAGCAACCATACAGACGAAGCGAGCAGAAGGCGGTAAATGTGGGCGGGCAGAGAGGGCCTGCCTCTCAATCCGTCTGACCAATCGCTGCTCCTATGGCTCCGGCCCCCTCCGACGATTTTTGCGTCACTGGCTCCAAAAATCCAAGATGTCAACCAGGAAGTAGCAAAACCCTGGCTTCATTTTCTCAGTGCAGAAACCAACGGGTGACGTCACGGCAGCTACGTCGATCTTTTATACAGTCTATGAATTCAACCAGTCATAATTTTCTTCTCCAAGTTTAATCAATCAGCTTCAAGACCCAGACAACAGTCTTTCAGAAGCAGTTTTTACTCCCCTGAAAATGACCCTGAAAGATGTTGTACAGGAGCAGTTTTTTCACCATGCACAAAGATTTGGGCCGCCCAGTCCCTGCAGTTCAAAATGGCCTAAATAAGTGCTATCAATCCTTTCACCTAACTGATGACAGGAAAATAAAAAAGCATTTTCCAAAAAGCCATACAAGCCCAAACAAAAGCAACATTTTGTGGCCAATTTTTGAGTGATTTGCAGCGAAGACATCAGTTTGCCAAAAAACAGGGTTGGTACAAATGTGCCAGTGTTGTCTACTAGTGGCACACTTCCAGCAACATTGTGATAATAATGAGAAGTTTGCCACTGCTGGAAATACATTCATATGTATGTGGTTTGCTACCAGAGTTTGCCAACAGTGCCAACTTCCAATAACCTCCTAGAAAAAAAACAACAACAAAAAAAAAAACTTATAAAACTTATCAGCTTACGTTTGCCAGAAAGATAGACAGCATTTCTGGCAACAATGGCATTATTCATAGTTCTCCAGGTTTCTGGCAGACAGTTGTAGTTCACCTTCTTGCTACACATTTGCAGCAAGGTCATATTTTCATATGCAAATTAGACTTGTGGCGGACGCCTCAGTAACCCAACAGGTTGAGGGCAAATCATGTATAGGGTCTGAAAGTCCCAGACACAGTGGCCATGGATCAAGCCTAGATCGAGTCTCCGATGGAAGATTTGCTGCATGCCCTTTCCCTGCTCTTCTCCCTACATATCTTGTCTCTCTTTACTAACTTAGGGAATAAAGGAATAAAAAATAACATTTAAAAAAATAAAAAATAAATGGATTTGTGGCAAATGTACAGTTGAGTGCTGCCAAACTTTGTGTTGTGTCTTGTAAAAAACACTCTCAAGAGTGATTTTTTTATACTTTCATGGTGTGTTTGTGAGAATGAATGGCTTCCTGTCTCTCTGTGTTGACCCTGTGATTGTCTACAAAGTTGGCCAGAAGTCTACCGTAAGTTTTCTACAAATCTACTTTGCATATGGAAATAAGACTTTCTGGAAAACTTGCAGCAACATTGCCAAACTACAGCTGTCTGCTGGAAACCTAAAAATTGTGTAAGAGGCTCGTTTACAACAACAAAGCTTTCTATGGAGTTGCATTGGTCACATCAAATATCAATCAGTCACATTTTTGAAAAATTACCAAAGATGAAGCTGAAACTGAAAATGAAGATGAAACTGACTTCACCTTAACCCTATTCAGGATTTTCATGTTGCCACATGTAGAAGGTCTTTCGGGGTCCATTCGACCCCAAGAAAGAATATGTGCAAAATATTTGTTGGTATTCATTGTAGACTTTTATATGATGTTAAATACATTTTCCAGTAAGTTGAAGTATTTTCAGGTTCCAAATGCATGACAAATGTCCCTCTTTTTATATTAAAAAAAATGTATAAAAATAAAAAACAATACCTGTCACCTAAACCAAATGGCCTGGGGTTCAAAAGACCCCAAAAGTCCTGAATAGGGTTAAAAAATGTGCCATTTTGTAACATATTTGCTTGCCGAGAGTTAGAGAAGAGCGTTGCTACGGCTATCATGTCTTTATGGTAAATAAGTAACTAGCAGAGAGTAGCTTACCACAGAAACAAGCTTTCAACCTTTTGTTCAACTAACAGTAGAACATATCAGTGTTAGTCTCATTCTTACAATGTGCTAAAAAGTGCCCCTGGTCATTGAATATGTGTTAACATTGGTCACCCCAATAGCACTGATTGTCTTCATTCATTGTAGTGTGAGTGGATGATTTTAAAAAGTACCTTTTCAAGATCTTCTCCATCACAGTATCCAGCTCATCACAATGCGACACATTAAACAAGCCGTGGATGCTCGGAGGAAGACTGTGTCCTTGTTGTGCCAAAACAACCAAGTTGTACATTCCCTGTGAGTCGGTGTGAAAATAAAATCATAACAAGAGGCTGATGGGTTATTCACTGAGAAAGTCTCCAAATAATAACACTGTATAATGCTGTTTGTTGTTTTTATTGCGGTGGGCCTGAGCCCGTGGAAGTTTAATTAAGTTTATCATAGGGTGATGAGATTACAGCCCAAGTAAATCTGTCACCTGAGGGCTGCCTGCTAGAGCCGCTCTGCCATACATTGATATGGCCTGCTCAGCCAAGGATAATGACTCCTCTCGTGTACTGGAGGAAGAGTAGTAGTAGTAGTAGTCTCCCATTTTCAGCAGAGCTATAAAAGAAGATAAATACTTGCTGTTCAGTGACCAGATTGACAGGGAGAGAGGGAGGTTAAAGCAAAATGAAATGAGATGAACTCACCGGATGGATGGGGATCATGGTTTAATATAGAGTAGTTATGATATCTCCACTGACAATCATATCTGTAGTTCAGTTCCTGCATTTGGGAGAATGATTGCACAGTGAAAAAGAGCAGAGGAATGATGAAGGTTATGTTATCAACAGCTAATAATTTCCCTCTGGCTTTCTTCTTTTAGTCCCTGACAGGAATTGTGTGCAATTTGTTCATCAGCTGCCATGACAACTCCAATTATGAGACATTGATTGCAGAATTCTGCTTAAAAATTAGATTAAAGGTTCAGGCAGTGTTCAGTTTAAAGACGGGCACAAAGCATTGAAAGCACACACCTCACACAGGTGTGCAGCGTTGCTCTGGGCCAAACCCAGACCAGTTTCAGCTGCCAGGACATACTTCACAAATGCATCCTGCCTGTTGGCAACACAATAAAAACAAAAAACAAATAGTAAAGACAAGAGGAAATGATTCAATGAGGACAATTGAAAAGAAATTGAAATTAATGTCCCTACCGAGCGCCCTGGAGGTAGGCCTGAAGAGCCTCTCTGATCATAAATCCAAGGTGTCCATTCTGCTCACAGACCTTTTTTAGCATTCTGCGCAGAGGGCAAAGGACGGCTGATGAATTATGGAATATCATTTATCCCACATAAACGGAAAATATTTTAACATGATCCAAAAATAGTTCCGGATTTGTTGAGGTCATTCTAAAAAAAGCAGCAACAGCCGCAGGAGGGGCTTCTTTAAATTCATAAGATACCAGAGGAACATTGGTAAGCAGAATCTCTCTGTGCCAGACAATAACGCGGTGACAGTGGCTCTTATTTTTAGATATGCAAATACTGGGTTCTGACCTTGAATTAGCCACTGTCATTGAAATTAGATGCCACTGAGCTGCAGGCTACAGTGCAACAGCCCATAACAAAGCTTTCTTCACCAAGCTAATGAAAGCCTCTTACATCACAGCCCTCTCCACATCCTGAGACACCCCTTCCAGGCTTCCTGTCGAAAGGTACCACGCAGCCTCCACTGATGCAGCTACATGGCCAAACCGAGACGCATTCAGAAACTGTTGGAATGCAGCACTCTGTGGATCATACAGAAAACATATCAGCTCACTTATCATACCTGGAGAGTGACAACAAATACATTTCTGCAGGCGTGGGAATCGAACCTCATTCCTGCGGGGTCTGTCCAGATTTTTCCCATTGAGATGATAAATTCCCAGGTTGAACATCCCATCTTCACTGCCATTCAAAGCAGCCTGTTCAAAGTATTTCACTGCATTTTTGTGGTCATTCAGAACGATCCCATGGTACCAGCCTAAACCATTCAAGGCGTTAATTGAGCCCTAAAGCGAGGAAACAGACACTGCTACTCATAGTGAGCACATATACTGTAAACACACCGATTGATTGCTAGACGCTCACCATTGCCGCCGCTTTTTTCAGCAGCTGAAAACCTCTGGTGTAGTTTCTTTTCACTCCCTGGCCCTGAAGGAATCAACATCAATCAGTGAATCAATAACTGTCAAAACACAGGCACCACGCACACAAACACACGCACACAAACATCCAGTGTTCGATTCGATCATAAAGTAGGTTGAGTCTTTATAATCTCACAGCACCTTCATCAGGAGGATGGAGTAGTCGTACATGGCAGAGGGATCCTTCATTTGCATGGCACTTCGCTTAAACCACTTCACGGCACCTGCTACGTCTTTTGAGAGTCCATTTTGTCCCCAGTACAGCATTGTTCCCAAGCGTTTCTAAAGTTAATAGAGTTTTTATTAGACGGTTCTGGGCACTGACTCGGCAACTGACCACAACGAAGAAAATTAAAGTAGGAGTGAACTCTTTCTAAGGTTTTATACATCTTCCACAAAAAGAATAAAATAACATACAGTCCCTTTTAGTACAGCGCATCTCTTTAAAAGTCAAACCCACTCTGTAAATCACACATACCTGAGATGCTATGTCTCCTCTCTCTGCTTGATATTTTATATACTGGAGGACGTCACTTGTCTCATGCATCAGGGTTTTTAAATCCTCCTCATTGTTTATATAGATCCGTTCAAGTGCGTATTGCTTTAGGAAAAAGAAACAGAATCATTGTTAAGAAAGTATTTCTATTACCACTTCTGCTATGAATAATAATACTAACTACCTCATAATTTTACTATTTTACTACTGTCACCATTAGAATGATCATTAACGCTTGCCAGCTATTTCTAATAACACAGCTCCATCTACGAGAGCAACATTATCATTCATTAGTCATATTTCTGGCTACCTGATAAATTTAAGTCTAATATTCAAAAACTTTTAGCTCTGTTTGTGGTCTCTACAAGCTGACAGATCCATCATCCAGCTGCTTTTCCGCTCGAAATCAACACTGTGAGAGCAGAAACAGTGAGATAAAACATTAAATTGTGAGCCTGCCGCCTAAAAAGTGAATCGAAATTTGCTGTTAAGAGCTCCAAAGCCAAAAGGACATGCAGATTTGTTATAGCTACTTTAAATACACATGACTCGCTATGGTATCGAAGGTAAAAAAACCCAAAAAAAACAGGCTAAAAAACAAACCTGAGGTGTTATACATTTAACTAATCTCCAGTAAGCTGATTCAGCCCTGTCTCCCGAAATTTATGTCCCCTTACAACTAAACTGCATTCTCATTTATGCTTTGTGACATGATAGGAAAGGCTTTTTGCTTAAAAGAGCCACAAAATCCATGAAGGGAAGTAGGAGGGGAGGAAGGAGGAATGAGTCAGCAACAGGATTTAAACCAGGAGACTGGGATTCACGCATCATGTAGGACTATTATTCTTAGACATCAGTTTGGTTTTCACTCGTTGTCTTGAGTCAGTTTCCACTTGCTGTTTGATTTGGTTAAGTACCAAAACTACAAGGTTAGGTTTTGAAAAATATCACACTTTGGTTGACCCTGGTTAAATTTAGACACCAGTTACTTGGCAAAGTTTGAGTAAAAATACACACTTTGACAACATGTTTGAAGCTTTCCTTCATTTGCTGATTTGAAAACGTCTTTGTGATACTTCAAACACAAACATAATCTGGCAAAAAAAATATGCTTCCCTCAAAACACAATTGAGAATGCAGTATAGTTGCACAGAAACTTAACGTTTTTTAGAGACAGAACTGCATCAATCAGGACTGTGTGGGTGTGGTTTGATAAGACTTGATTGACAGTTGTGATTGTGATTAAAATAATTCCAAATCCTGATCAATGCTCAGAAGCACACGTCACCACCTTTTTTTTAATTGAGCTTGGCCCTCTTTAAGCCAGTCGCCTGAGCACTTCTGGCTGTCTTCCGACAAAACAACACACAGACAGCAACAGAAAATAGAAAACAAGGTTTCATTACCTTTAATCAATATCAGTTCCAGATGGATTGCTGTACTGTCATCTACTCTGGGAGTTAGAGAGCTTCTAAGCTGGTTCTAAATGCTGTAGATAAAAATTTTCACCACTAGACCCGAGAACAATTGTTTTCTTGGTGCATTGGCTGCCTATTCAAGCTGCAGCAGACAGTAACATATCGCCGCTGTTTTAATGCACCTCTGTTAATTAGATCCAGCTTATTTAAATACTCGGAGAATAAACAGGAAATCAGTCGGAAGTAGTCTCAAAGCAGGCTGCTTATCTTTGGAGTGCTCTCCCTCTATTCCCCGGGAAGTCAAACTCATTCCCATTTTTAAATGAAGATTTAAGACCCACCTATTCTCTCTGTACTGCAGCCTCCTCTGATTCAGCTGGCTGGACCAACAAACACACTATTAATCATATTTTGGGGACTGCAGGTTTTGTAACATCGCTGTCATGGGCCTGCACACATGTGTACACTCGGTGTGCATGTTTGTGTAAATGCATTTGTGCTTGAATGGCTTTTTTTATGTTGTGCATTTATTTTATTTATCTTTGTTTTAGACATCTGCAATAAAATTCATATTGACTTTTTATGTGTATCACTGTCTTGCGGAGAGGTAGGATGAACCACTCGCATATGTGTTAGTTAGCTTAGCTCCAAAGAGTGACAACAGCTGGTCAAGAAATAAAAAAATATCCGCCTACTGTCAGTTTCAATTTTACTAATAAGCATCTAATATCTCTTCTGTTTACTTTTTACAAATGCAATATTGAAAAACAATTGTGGTTTTACCATACAGTAAAGATAAATGTCGCCCACTGGTTTGTAGACTAACATGAAGTCTTGAATTTTCAGTTTCATTGTCGCCATCTTGTTTTTCTTGCTACCAAATATAAGGAGTGACATATGAAAATATGAGGACACTATAAACGCCCTTATGTTGACAACTTGTCAACTGCAAGGTAGCCACACCCTAAAACACTACCTATTAAAACAAGAGGAGTCAACTCCTGCTGGTCATTTGAAAGAATGCAGGTTTATACCTCTTATGCACTGGCTTTGGATTCCAGGCTACACCCATCTTTTATGCAGTCTGTAGGTTTTACTGTATGTACATGGTTATATCTTTCTTTTTTTCACCCTTTGTGCTAAGCTAAGCTATGCTAAGCTAAACGGCTGCTGGCTTTAGCTATATAGTGAACAGATGGATATGAGAGCGTTATCCGTCTTCTTAACCTAATCTCACAAACTGATTGATTTCAGTTGTTTAAACATACCTTATTTTCATGTACGTGTGAAATGTCAGTGTTGCTCTGTGCCCCGACATTGGAATAGTAGCTATAGGCCATGTCAATGTCTTTAGGAAATCCATCAATTCCCTGTGTGTGTTTGTACCCTGCATGCATCAGGGCAAAGCGGTCATCACCAGAGGCACCAATCAAGCTATAGACATGACCCTGGAACAGACGGAGGTCAGAATCATCAGTCATTATTACAGAAGTGACTTTACATGTGATAAAGTGGCAATTAAGATACAAGGAAGGCATTGACTCAACCTGCTGTTGATTGACTGGGTGTCCCAGGCCGGAAAGGTGGATGGTCGCCAACAAAAGGGATGCTTTGTGATTTCCAAAGCAGGAGGATACTTTTAGTAGAGAAACTGATTTGGATGTGATTTTCATTTGAGACTTATCCACAGGGAACATTGTGCCAACTGCCTCCTCGAACAAAGTCTTTCTGAGGTGTTTCATAGCCAAAGATCCTACAGAAAACAGATAAGTGGGTAAGCTGCATAATACATCTCCTCTGCACTTCGTACAGTATTGATCAATGTCATAAACAGTGCAAAAATCTATAACACCTGTCCTGATCTCCTCCTCTTTTGCTTGCAGGAAATGAAAGAGTGTGCTGTATTTTAGTTGTTTTTCCAGCGTCCATGTTTGTGTGCAAGTTTTCTTTTTCTTTTTGAACTGACCCCGCAGTTGTAAGAAGTCAAAAGTACAGACACCTGAAATAAAACGGAAAAGACAACCTGTCAGCAGTATTCCTCTCCTCTTCTCTACAGGTGTGCTGTTGTTGTATTGACACCCTTGATATTAGATCTATCCAAGGTGTCTCCCTGTAGAATGGTTGCAACACGGCTTTTATAGAACATGCCAAAATAATATTTCACCTTTGTTGGCTGGTGACAGAGGGTGACTCTCAGTTGCTTCCTGTAGAAAAGCTTTTGTAAATGCTCTTATTTCACAACATTCCCGATGAGCCCTCTCCAGTTCATTAAACGTTGATTGTGGGTGAAGTGGATTTTTTATCTGTGACAGAAATAGAGCCGTTTTTGAAACTGGCATTAGTTCATGTCTGGTTATTGATTTAACTCTTTAAACCACATCTCGAGTTTTTTTTTTTTTTTACATGAAAATAATCTTTTTCTGCTTTAAATGGCTCAAATGTAACTCTACACCATTGCTTCTTCTACAATGCACAGTCTCTGCCTCTAATTTAATGCACCCTTTACCACTTTCCCATAGAAGCTCACCTTTGACTCTGCTCCTACCCTACGCTACACATAGGCAAGTTGTAATGTTGGACTAAGTCAGTCATACATGTTTGAACCAGACACTGATTCTAAAGAAGTACAATGAAACCCTGACTGTGTGTGTGTGTCTTTGAGATGCTGGAGAAATGCTCAGCCATGTTGTTGACTGCTTGTTTCACTCATCATGTGTCTTCTAGCGTATAGAAAACACCATACGGACATGCTAACAAGGTATAACACTACATTTTTACCAGATGAAGCCTGTAGTAGTCACACAACAGCGCAACAATATTAGATTTCTAATCAGAAGAGAAGGCACTTTACCTCATTGGTTCCAAAACGGTAGTATTTTAAAGGCCCAAAATACCCATGTATGCCGGGCATGTATCTGCTTCCTCCAATCACAAAGTATCCATCTGTGTCATCATAATGGATACTGGCCTGAAACCTAACAGATTAGTTGTTAAATACCACAGCAATCGTAATCTTTGTACACTAAACCAAAATATAAATGTAGCATGTAATATTTTATCTAATTCTCTCCAGTTGTTTGAATGAGCACTTTTTGTTCCAACACACGGCATCTCCAAAACAGAAAGGACATATTGGAAATGATAATGGGCAGCTAGAGAGTGGGTTCATGGACCAGACATCACAAGTAACAAACAAGAATGTCCCATTTGATCGCAGAGTGCCACATAGAGTTAATGAGGTTGTCAATGCTGTCTTGTAGAATGTTGTTCCACTCCCACTGAACTGTTTGGTGAAGCTGCTGGAGGGCATTTTGGGGGACAGGCTCACGTTGTCGGACACTTCCATCCAGAGCTGTCTGAAACGATTTCTTACACAACAAATGGTGGAGTTGTGGACATTCAAGTGCCTGGCTGCAGCTTCCAATGACACGCCAGCATCTAGCATGCCAACAGCTTGTTCTCTTCCTTCTCTTGTTCATCTGTGGCGCCGTGGCATTTGAATAAAAGCTGCATTTGAAGGTGACTTTAATAGTCGCTGGTCAAAAGACTGTCTGTGTGCTAGTCACGCTGTCTGATCATTTCCCTTTAAAGCCACACCTGTCCAGTGTGCAGATTAACTCAACGGTCAAGCATTTCATTGTTTTGTTCAGTATTCAGTATTTTTTCTTTTTCTGTAACTGAACTAACGGCTGCTGTCTCAGGGCAACAGTTGTGTCTTGCATATTTCATAGCAAAAAGTCTTACTCATAATCAGATCTGTGGGTGTCATCATCCCATGTTGCAGCCAGCAGCACCTGAAAGTCAGACATAACAATGCATGAGCTCGGAAAAAAAAAAACTACTCAACTGTAAACGACTTCAAATTGCAACTGCAATTGCCTGGAGTTTCCCAGCTGGAAAGGAACCATCTTTCAGGATCTTACAGCTGGGAAACAAAGCCGGGGTATGAAACAAAACTCAGAAGAAAAAGGATGACTAGAAGATGTATCCTTAAGCTACATTTTAATTTCTGTTTCTTGTACCACCACCCGGAGGCACATACTGGGGTGCTATACCTTCGAGTCCTGTATGTAACAGTCTAATCTAATCCATTTCCACCGGGGCAACACTACACCGGCTTGGAAAGCTTCATCTTCCCCCGTCGTCACTCGTGCCTGAATTACGACGTCCCCTACACAGGAGACATGACAATCATATATTTCACCGCAGGAGATCCATAGCTCCTTATTAATACATAAGGCAGTCTGTTCCACAGTCGCACAGAACACACATCATCACTCACAATCATCTCATGATACCTCAGTCTAATCCTCCAAACTGGCATCAGGTGTACACACAAGCTGCCGTGACCCACCTGTGTCTGTAAGCTGTATCAGAACGGAGTCGTATAAAATTTTCCTATCAACATGATGGATGATCCCGCAGAGCTTCTGGTGACACCATTTCAGTAGGTAGATCCACACAGATAAGGTGACGCTGAAAACCAAGCAACGAAACATGATTTGACAAATCATTTCTTGAGCCACTCAAGCGCGAGGTTAAATTTAAAGCGCTGTGCTGCCTGCTAAAAATGACTGACCTCGTTGTCTTTCATTGACCGTAAATAAAAAGCTTATATGCTCTGGTGAAGAGGCTTGGTGAAGCTTGTAAAGTCATTTATAAAGACAGTGAAGTAAAAGTGAAGTGTGTTCTGGCAGATGCCCGCACTGAAAGGGAAACAATCACTGACCTGTGGCCTGTCAATCTGTTGATATAAACACGAACCGCTGGCGTTATATAGTGCACATCTGAGGCTTTACGTGCTGCTGGTGTCCATCTTTATAATAGTTAATATCGAAAAAATCTGCTCCCTGCAGGGGATGTTTTTATTCTGCCGGGTTCACCTTCATACAGAATAAGTTTGAGATAAAATAAAGTAAATTAGAAGTCCAACCTTGGCTTTGTCACAGCATGGAGACGGGTTCTCTCTAAGGCTCTGTTGGTGAAAGGCTGGAACCTGTGGACCAATCCAAAGTGCTCACCAGTACTTGCCAAAGGGAACTTCAACACATCGATTACATCTGTGCACAAGCAACAGATTGCATTCAACATTTTCATGTTTCCTTGAAAAGCCTTGCAGACAAAAATGGGACATGCAGAGAAAATGTGATTAAAGGTCTGACCTGACTCATGCGGACACTGATGGATTCTGTTGCTGGTCATTTGCCACATCAGTTGAGCAGACCATGACGGGCAACCAGCAGGAGGTTTACTTGGCCGCTCAGAGAGTGGCATTATCTTTAGCACTTTGTAAATCCTCAACATGGAGCTGTGGTATGTGCTGAGTAAACTGCCATTTTTAAAACAGTCCAGCCAAGCACGAACTGTCACATTCTGCGTGTCCAAAATGTTCCTGTTGAAAAAGTCACGTTGATATGAAATGGACGGAGGCAATCTGAGCAGCACCTGGTGGATCCTGTAGACTTGGGACGTGCTGCTGATCCATTTCCTCCTGAAGACCACTAAATCTGTCTTCCTTAATGTGGACACCACCACTTCCACTGCGAGCCGACATGGCCTGGAGCATCGATACCGTACACGGACCACTGAGTCATCTACCACTTTGTCAGGGACTGAGTCAAACCCTATGTAATTGTCAGGCAGCGTCTCATCACTGTGGGTCGAAATGGCTCGTATTACAGTTCGGCCCTGAGTGAAGCGAAAGAAAAAGATTAAGCGAATTTAAATAAAAACAGGCAAGCGTGCAGTGTTTTTCTCTCAAGCAAATTAATGCTCTATCTCTATGCTAGGCAGTGTACAGAGAGATTTCAGAGCTTTTTCTCTGACAACAGCCGGCTGCTGCAACTCAAAGCAAAAACTACAAGAGCAGTGAGAGGGAACCAAAACTGTAATGGTGATGTCCACAGAGATACACAATGAGCTAAAACTTGTTAAAAAGCCTTGTAAAATCGAGGGGGAGCTGTGGATTCAGGTGATAATTGAAATAATTTGTAGGTTCATCACTAAAAGCATCCGCTTTCCCATTATCACAGTGTTTTCAGTTGTCATTAAATACATTAGAATTATAAAAAGTATCAATTATAGCTGCTTTAAAAAAACATTCATATTCAAATTTAGAAAAATGAGTGCTGGTTTCATACTCAGCGATTGATATCAGTGCAATTACAGTGTGATAAAGTTGCTTACCATTAGAACAGAAGCAGTGAAGACACATCCAAAAACGATGTAGTGAAACACATTCATTCTTAGTTTTTTTTGGCTTGAGATGAAGTAAAGCATAAAAACAAATATTTAATCCTTGGAATAATTATAAATCCATTCAAGTTTCAAAGTTATTCATCTTTAAAATAATGTTGGCTCACAGTGTTTTAACAACTGGCTAACGCACTTCACAAACAAGTGGCTGCTGTGCGAGCATACACCCTGTGTAATGCAGGATTACCTGATATTCTGGTGTTGCAAGTCAAGCAGTTTGCATTTATTATCTTTAAAGGGCTAGTGCCTAAGAGGGCTTGGTTAGATTTTCTCTGCTGTGCAACAAAAATGTTGTTTGATTTATTTTATTTGTGATTCTATTAGGGAACTTTCCATGCAAGTGATGCATCAAAGCGTAGAGTCTAACTTAATTTGATGTGCTCGAGCCAAGGCTTTGCCATCACCCCGCGTCCTCTTGGCCTACGCCCACACAAGACTTTGAAGAAATCTGATCTGAAAAACAACCTGATATCGCAGCCAAAATTAATTACCCATGGGCTACTGACTTTTTTATGCTTCAAAGTCAAGGGAATGAAGCATCGGTAATGTTGCTGATGGTTTGTTTTAGGAGACCACACACACATGAACATGGACTCGGTTGTCTATATAAAAGGTGACTGCTGCTAAAATAGACTACTGCAGCTCGAGGCAGTGCACAAATCTTTATCAGACAAGCAATATGAACATTTGGGCCAGGACTTGACTGGGAAAAACTGTAAGAGTATAATTTTGTATTTTCTTTTCTCTCTTTTGGATATTAAAAATCAAAAGTCCTCACATTCAATGGCTTTACAGGACCTGTGCAACTTCCAGGACTTTTTTCAGGACAGTCTAACCAAACAGTCTTTTTCAGGGACATTTGGAAAGAGCACTGCGTGTAATTATGTGAGTAGTTCATCCTTTAGGAATAGCACAAGTCTGTTTAGGTTTTATATACCAGTGGCGGAGTACTTGGATGAAAGTCCAATACAATTTGGGCAAATCAGCACCGTCCAGAGCTCCAGTGCCTTCTCATCTCAAGACTCCATCTTATCATCCTCCTCCTTGCCCACAAGCCTTCCTTTTGCTTCTTCCCAGTCTGTGCCTCTTCCCTTCCCCATGTCTCATGGCACCACCACCTTGGCTTTCATGTTCCAGGGCGGCGTTCTAGCAGCAGCAGACACTCGGTCCAGTTGCTCTGGCCTCGTGGCGTGCCCAGCGTCCCAGAAGATCCTGCCCATTCACAGTCACTTGGTGGGCACTACCTCGGGTACGTCGGCCGACTGTGCGCTCTGGAAACGGATCCTGGCTCGTGAACTACGGCTGTACCAGCTCCGCAACGGCCGGCGGTTGTCCACAAGAGGAGCTGCCAAATTGCTTTCACACATGCTTCATCCTTTCAAGGGAACTGAGCTGTGTGTTGCTGCAACACTGTGTGGGTGGGATGGAGGAGAGGTGGATGATGGATGCCATGCTGGTACAGAGACTGATCTCAGAGGTCGCGGAGAAACAACAAAGAGTGAAATAATTGACCAGGAGAAGTTCTCCCATACCCCCAATGAAAAGGTCTCTCTGTCAGAGACTCAGAGCTTGACTTGTTCTGAGCAATACTTTGCGAGAAAGAAAGCAAGTTTCTCTGGACCCGGTCTGTTTTATGTATGCAGCGATGGTACTCGCCTGCAGGGAACGCTCTTCTCTGTGGGCTCAGGATCCCCCTATGCCTACTCAATTCTGGACCAAGGGGTTCGATGGGGTCTGACAGTGGACGAGGCCACATCAATAGCTAGAGAAGCTGTGTACAGAGCTACGCACAGGGATGCATACTCAGGAAACTGTGTAGACATCTATCACATCACCTCAAACGGATGGACTCGCAGGAGCAGAGAGGATTTGAAAGAGGAATATTACAGAGAAAAGGAGAGGCGAAGACATGAGGGAAGGGGGAGACAGGACGTGACTTTGTCGGAGTAAAGACATGAAACAAACCAAAATGGCATGAGGAAAGAAAAGGCAAACATCGGGGAGTATTTTGGAGAGACGTGATAGCATCTTTGCAGCAGATACTAAATTAATGAACAGGACAGGCAGTAGCATCCTCCAGGCTATTTCTCAAATGATTTGGGCATGCATATCGTTCCCTCTAATAAACAGCTGATGTTTTGTTTGCGCTGATGATAAAATGTGTTCTAACAGCGCACTGCTGGCTGGCATTTTGATTTAGACGTTAAAACATTATGAATCATTTCAAGCATGTGAGATAATTACTACCTACTCCTGCATGTGGTGGAATCGCATAAACAGAGAGAAGCAGAAAATGAATAATCCAAAAAAATCTAAATGTCTGGAGGCTGAAGGTCATGATGTATCGCCATGTGTGAGGGAACACATTGAGCTGTAGCAATAAACGGGCTGAAAACTTGATTTGTGTCTGCTGTCGGATTACTTCTGAAGTTTCTTTGACACTTCAATAAATTAATGAATAAAAGAAATTTTGCTGAACGTGCCTGTTCATTTTGTTTGAGCGCTGTGGTCGTAAATTAAGCATACTAGTAATTATTCAAGCGACAATTAGTCTGCAAAGGATTTTACAGAGCTGCCCAGTGCTCAGCCACACCTTCTCAAACTTTAGCGAAGACAGTCAAAGTGTGGCGGTGGAAGGTTTCCAGGGCAACACAATCCACCGCTTGAGAGTAGTTTTATATACTACATGTTACGCTATATGTCAAAATACTTGAGCTTTGCATGAAGTCGTGTCTCTACATGCGGATATGATGAGTTAATTTCTAATATATTGTATGTGACGGAGGTTTTAATGGCTCACATATGCATATGTGTGCAGTGGGCATATCTCTGTCTGATTAACAGTATAAAATAAATTACATGCAGAGATGCGTGACTGCAACATGAGTGGAGATGTGCACTCGACTCGTACCACTGTGTGATTGACTGCAGCTGTGAGTGTAAGAGGGGGAAAGCCTCCCTTCCTCCCAAACCTCATCCATAATTCCCATCTTTGGAAGTTCATTAATGGCAGAATTATTGAGCGAGAGTGAAAAGAAAAAAAGAAAAAAAATAATAAAACAAGTGGAAACCGATTCGGTGGTCCAGATTCAAAAGCTTGCAGGGACAGACTCGGAGCTTTGTGTTTTGAAAAGAAGCAAGGACAGAATTGTAAATCAACGCTCAGAGCCTGCAAGCAGATGAACTGTGATTTGAGAGAGCAGTAGTTCTTCCTTCGCTTGGCCTCTTCAAAGCTCTTTGTTCAGTTTTGGCACTTTCTATTCCTTACATGCACACTCCAGCTGAGAAAAGAACAAGCTCTGCTGGATTTGACCAAAAAGTGAAATGTCACATACCCAGCCTTCTAAAGTTACACAACTACATCTGTTTTGTTTTTTTAAATGTCTAAAAGAACTTTAGAAACATACAAACCTATCAGCCAAAAGTTTGCCAAAAAAATAAAAAATTCTTTGACAGCTCCTTGTTTTGTGCTTTAGAAATCTGTCCCTGTGTGCACCCAAATCCTCACTGGCAGATTGATTACTGCTCGGCTTTGTTTTGTGCTTGCTCAGTAGTTTTGGCATTAATAAACCTCACAGTACACAGCTGGGTACAAGGGATCTGAGGAGTGACCTTAGGGTGGCAAGTTTTCTTTCTAGTCGTATCGCTGAACACTTGTCTCATCACCACTTGTTTAAAGGCTCTCTTGATTCGTTGTCATCAGACGGGGGATGATCAAGAAATGTGGACGTGCAAAGGAAAGGCTGCACTCAAAAGTGACTGCGTGCAGAGGTGCTCAAACAGTGCCCTGCAGAAAGTGCTGTTTCTAATCAAAAGAAAATACTTGGGTGCAAATCAACATGCAATGTATAAAAATGTCAAAAACTATCACATCATAAGACATTGTGCTGGTTACAAGGGTTTAAGTGTTTTTAAAAAGTGCACATTTTGGTTCAGATGTATGTTCACAGTGTAATGTCAGACAGGGCTTTTATATATTAGATATTTAGATATTTAGATTGTCTGCAACATATATTGTGACATGAAACCACCACATAGCTGAAGTAACTGAATCTAGAAAGATTAATCCACTGCATACTGATTGAGATGATTGCATCTCTACTGAGAAAAAAAATAAAAAGCTGAAAAAAGCCCTTTTTATATGGTGCAAAATACAAAATAG